GAACGTTGCCGCCGTCCTCGATACTTCCATCAGAGCTGCTTAGGTCTATTTATATTGTGCAAAAACCGTCTGGATGGACACAGTAGAAGACGTAAACAACCCCAAATTTAGGAAGAAGTAAGCAAACTTGTGTTTTAGAATCGAACAGCGACAACTTCATGCAGTAATTACAAATAAAACATGTGACGGAGCAACACCCGAAATGTCTTGACAAATAAATGGTGTTTTTCTTCAATTTCTTTTATACGTTTTTGGTATAAACCGCAAATTCACTTTCTTATTTTAAACGTAGCTGTTTCTGTCGCAGCTTTCATGATATCCTGTACGTTTAGTTTGCTCATTTAGTTATTTGCAATCGACTGAATACTGCATTGCTAGATACAAAAACATATTTGGACTCCGGGATAAAAAAAACAGTTTTTCCATACTACCCAAAAGGGTAAGGTACCATGTATACATAGGAACAGGTATTGCATATGTCAGGCAGTATAACTTCTTTGGATCACTTTTTTCGTAGATAAAAAGTTGGGTATCTATTTGTAGCGGGACAACCTACATGTTTTTTTTACCTTAGTATGGACTGTATTTTCTAGAACCACATACCAAGAAATAGACCAAGGCGCTACAATATGGTGCATGTCACATTTTCGCCACTAGAAAGAGATGGTACGAGATTTTCAATATGGTTTAAGCTATGTCCTATGAGTTTTACACCCAAATATGCCTGTTTGAGGACTGCTGCCTCAGCTCGGACGTTCATGCAGTTGAGAGGCGGTCAAATATCTCAACTTTGGTAATTAAAAAGAAAGTTGGTGAGTTGAACACCAAAAGTCGGGGCTTAACAATATTGAGGCATTTATTGAAAGACAAACTTTTAACTAGTCTGCTTTCCGTACTTTGCTACATCAACCCCAACAGATTAAATACGCGGAACTATATTAAAAAGACCCATATATGTCGGAAAGGTATAAAGATGGTCCGAATTGTTTTATATTGGACATAAGAGATACAGGGTGTCCCAGAAGTCGACGTCAAGCCGAAACCGGGTGATAGGCAAAGTCATAACAGCTATCAGAAAAATATTTAAAAAAATTTTATGTATGTGTTTTGAAAATTATAGGTCTTTGAAAAAGATATAGAAATTTCACACCCTACGGCAGTCTGTCAACTCCTGTTACTACAAATATTAACTTTTTTTGGATTTTATTTTTACCTTACTGCCAACTTTTCTCGTTCAGGAAAAATTGCCACTTATTTCCCAACCAAGTATTCCAAAGTAAAACTTTGCTCAACTTTAACTGGCTGTACTGGAAAAAAATGTACTACGAGAGTTTGGCAAGTAATCTTAAAAGTTGGCGCATTTAATAACGATTCCAAAATGGTATACCACTTAGAAGATTACTCGTTAACTTATGCACAATTTTTATTTGAAAAAAACTGATGAAAATTTTTCAAAATTTCCTAATTAAACAGCGATTATGAAAACGCACAAGGACCATTAAGGATAACTGTTTGCACAACAGTGGGCGTCAAAATGCTGCTGATGATGATTTACCTTTACAGCAAATGCTCAAACTGCTTTCCTTCAGCCGCAATACACGCTCGACATCTTCTTACAAAAGATCGGGTTATTAAACGAGCGAATCCAGGGTTATTAACAAACTCAGCTGCTTCCAATAGTCTTTGCCATAGCTCAGCTACATTTTGAATCGGCTTGAAATACACTTTTTCTTTTACAGTTCCCCAGTAAAAAAATCTAACGGAATACTCAGTGGCACGTCCACCAATAAATCGTGTACATGATTTTTCAAAAAATCCAAATAAACTTCAGCAGTCAAAGTCTCTGGGAACTCAAACGGACCGATTATTTTACCATTTAAAATTCCTGTCCAATGGTTTATCTTGAAGCGATATTGAGATTTATCTTCTCTCATCAAATGTGGGTTTGCTATGTGCCACTCGTGTGAGTTATGCAGGTTCATGTACCCATCTTTCTTAAATGTGGTCTCATCCGACCATAAAATTTTTTCAAAGAACTGTGGATCTTTCCTGTGTCTTCCTAACATTGTGCGACAAAAAGCAACTCGGGGCTCATAATCCTGGGGCAGGAGAGGTTGAACACGCTGTATGTGGTATGGATGAAGCACATCACTTACTTGCTATTGCACACTTTGATACCGATCAGTTTACTGCGCATCTTTACATGTTCGCGCTTGTGATTTGAATTTGGACTGTTTAATTGCTCTTCAAAACAACATTTGCTTTCCTTAGACTATCTTTGATAGTGTAATTGTGCAGTGCCGCTATGTCCGTGTACACCGTACAAGAATATGCTAACATGCACCTCATTTATGGGGAATGCAGATGCAACGCTAGTGCTGCAGCGTGCAATAGAACTAAAAACACGTGTGCCCAAAAGTACAGCCCATAGAATCTTGCAAAAAAACGTGCTTCACCCTTACCACGTACAGCGTGTTCAAGCTCTTCTGCCCAGGGATTATGAGCCCCGAGTTGCTTTTTGTCGCACAATGTTAGAAACACACATTTGATGAGAGAAGATAAATCTCAATATCGCTTCAAGATAAACCATTGGACAGGAATTTTAAATGGTAAAATAATCGGTTCGTTTGAGTTCCCAGAGACTTTGACTGGTGAGGTTTATTTAGGTTTTTTGCAAAATCATTTAGAAAATTTATTGGAGGACGTGCCACTGAGTATTTACAGGGACATGTGGTTTCAGCATGATGGCTGCCCAGCGCACTATGCACTCTCAGTAAGAAAGTATCTCGATCAAAACTTTCCAGGCAGATGGATAGGGTGGTCTGGTACAATACCGTGGCCAGCCCGCTCACCAGATTTGAATCCGTTAGATTTTTTTTGCTGGGGAACTGTAAAAGAAAAAGTGTATTTCAAGCCGATTCAAAATGTAGCTGAGCTACGGCAAAGACTATTGGAAGCAGCTGAGTTTGTTAATAACCGTGGATTCGCTCGTTTAATAACCCGATCTTTTTTAAGAAGATGTCGAGCGTGTATTGCGGCTGAAGGAAAACAGTTTGAGCATTTGCTGTAAAGGTAAATCATCATCAGCAGCATTTTGTCGCCCACTGTTGTGCAAACAGTTATCCTTAAGGGTCCTTGTGCGTTTTCATAATCGCTGTTTAATTAGGAAATATTGAAAAATGTTCATCAGTTTTTCTTCAAATAAAAATTGTGCATAAGTTAACGAGTAATCTTCTAAGTGTTATGCCATTTTGGAATCCTTATTAAATGCGCCAACTTTTAAGGTTACTTGCCAAACTCTCGTAGAACATTTTTTTTAGTACAGCCAGTTAAAGTTGAGCAAAGTTTTACTTTGGAATACTTTGTTGGGACATAAGTGGCAATTTTTCCTGAACGAGAAAAGTTGGCAGTAAGATAGAGACACCAGTTTGAAGATGCATTGTTCATCATTACATTGTAAAAATAAAATCCAAAAAAAGTTAATATTTGTAGTAACAGGAGTTGACAGACTGCCGTAGGGTGTGAATATTCTATATTTTTTTCAAAGACCGATAATTTTCAAAACACATACATAAAATTTTTTTAAATATTTTTCTGATAGCTGTTATGACTTTGCCTATCGTATATAGTGAAGGACCTACGAGTCCTCCTAGATGCAAAAATGACTTTCTAACCACACATAGAAAACTTGATTTGCGAATCAAACAAAATATCGGGATTTATCTGTAGAATCTGCAGGGATTTCAAGAGTGCAATAGCCATGACATCCCTATATTATGCATATATTTATAACAACTTGAACTTTGCTTCCGTTATATGGAACCCTCAGTATATTACATACATAAATCGAATTGGAAGTGTACAAAATAGATTCCTGAAGAGATTAAGTTTTAAAATCGGCAATCCGGTACGTGACGGAAACTATGATCATATTAGACAACGTTTCAATATCATGACCTTAAAAAGTAGAAGAATCATGTCCGACGTGTGTCTTATATACAAAATATTCAACAATTTTGACTGTCCCTATCTGGTTTCAAAAATAAATATTAATGTGCCAGATAGAAACTACCGTCATTCCAAGTTTTTCAGGATTCCCTTCTGTAGAACGAATTTAGGGGTCAACTTACCTGTAATTAGAGCCCAGAGGGTGTTTAATATCTTTTTTATATCTTTGACAAAAAGTAAGCAGCTTATTTGAAAATTCATCTGATCTTAAAATGACATTGAAGGTCATGGCAAGCATATACTTGAACCCAGAATTTTCCATTCAGGAATTAAAAGTAAAAGTAAAAGTAGATGTTTTTCGTTAAAAAATATACATAATAGTCAAGGTCATGAACATAGTTGAACATAAAGATTCATACTCTCTTTATTTCCGGTGTCAAAAATAGGGGTTTCCATTTCCAAAAACTATACTTACCAAATGAGCTTGAACATCAAGGTCATAGTCATGATCACGTTCAAGGTTACTATTAGATGAATCTCTAAAAAACCTAGCAACATTGATACATAACAATTTTTCATGAAACGTATTTAGTCCTGTCACTAATTTCTGGACACCCTTAAATAAACACCAATGGTCAATGTCGTGGGCAAAGACACATTTTAACATAATTTTCCGATCTTTACATCTCAGTTGTCAAAAATAGGGGTTTTATTCATGAAAACTGTCTTGGCCTGCAGATAACCTTGAAGGTCATGGTAAGGTTACGTTTAAAATTAATATTAGATAAATCTTTTTTGAACCTTGCAACGTTGTTCTACAATTTTTTTTTTCGAAACGCGTTTTCCGAGACATTCTAATTTATAAATATTTTTTTAACACCCTGTACATTTTCTAATTTTCTAGGATAAAACCATACCTATGACTTTCTTCGGGTTTCAATTAGTGGGTGTACAGAGTTTTACGATTCTCCGTACTGTGGTTCAGACCTCATGCTGACAGACTGGAGATACATTCACATTTATATACATAATATGTATTTTGTGATACTTACGCTTCCATCGTATGTCAGGGTATTGTGAAAAAACAATCCAGCGATGAGCGCAGCAATGTTGGCGGTGTAGCTAGCGACGAATATCACAGAGAATCCTCCCCACACGTTGATGAGGAACTTGTTTGGCCAGCTCTTGGGAGCCTTGAACGCCACCAAGTGGCCGCAAAGAAGACCCCACATCACCCACAGAGCGGAGCTCATGCTGAAGTTCTTGGAACGTTGTCGGCCCCATGGGTTCAACCCAAAGGGGCTCAGCCACTCGTATATGGCGACGGCGATAGCTGTTATGTTTAGACCTTGAACACAGATGACGTAGGTTTACATTAGGAAATCACGATAAAAAGGAAAAAAAGGCCCTACGAATTCATGCACGCGTGACGAGGTGTGTTAAAGCAAACCTTTCAGGCCTACTGGTCTTCTGGGATGACCACCAACTCATAGTCAATTTACTTGATCACTGATGATATTCCGACGTTACTAGGATAATTACTTTAGTAAATTTATAGGCAATAAAATGGTAACCCTCAAAATTGCTCAGCTGGTGGGAATAGTAGATTAAATGCCTCTCATGGAAACGTGCAGTGTGGGACTTTGAATCAAGCACAAAAAACATTGTTTTGCTCAGTGCCATCACATGATAGGACGCTTCAACTGACCACACATTTGAGGCTAAGGCTCGTGATATACTATTTGACAATACCCCTCAAACTGACGCAATCACTTCTCTTTGCGTCCCTCCTTCCCTCGTTCCACTCTTCCTCCCTTTCTTCTCCCTGACTTTGTCTGGTATCTGCTTTTTGGCTGTCAGATTTGACAGTTTGCTGATTAAATGTTGCATACTGTCTCCGTCTTGAAAACTTTGTCGTCACGTATGAGTGTCCTTCAATCATATTCGTCAGAGTGACAAATTACTTGACGTCGGCGTGCAATTTGGGTTGTCCTGTTATCAATCTTCAATATAAAATTGTACAATGCCCGGAAATACGATCAATGGAGAAGGGCGACAGCTCGTACTAAATTTATTAGAGTATTTCCAGGAAGAGAATGAAAACAGCGGTCCCCTGTTACCCACTTCATGCGTACTGGAGAGAGTAGCAGATGCGCTGAAGATCAGTCTGCACAGTGCTCGTCCCATGGTACAGAGACTCGATCTGTTTACTTATTTCATATGGCGTCGATGACGTAACCGCCAAGAACGGTGACTACAACTACACCTAATTTAATCCAGAAGCGTGTTTTGCTTCATTGTTGAGTAAAGTAGTTTAAAAAAGACAACTGTCGAAATGTGTACGTACTGGTAAAAATGGCGATCCACAGCTCTGGTGAAAATGGCAACAGGAAAGCCATCAGCGGAATTTCAGACTTTTGCTGTGGTGCGGCCAGAATCGAAACCCCGCTGAAGAAGTATGGTACACTGAAATATACATGAAACTATGCAAACAATAATCGGCTACAAAGCTGAAGTATCATCAGATACAAAAGCTTCTTCGTGGCTTTGACTGTGTATGTCTGTCAGTAACAATTTGAATCGATATAGCCTTTCTCAAAAGTTACATCTAGATATTTTGTTGTCCCACATGGTGTGAAATCGTATCCAGTGGCTTGATGTTAAGTTGGTTAGACGCAAATATACTAGTTAGAGTAAAGTATAATAGTATGTTCCATTACGATACCTACATAAAAAACGTATATCCTAAAAGTTCTGGCACAAAATACTTATCGGATTTTTTTAATGAAGAAATTTATTTAAACACTAACTAGTTATCATACATTAAAACTCAATATTCAGCTAAGTTATACTATAGAATTATGTGGAGTGGCCCACTCTGCTCTACCAGACGCAACGTTATTCGAATGTCTCTCATGAGGTCCTGGACGGCATTTCTCTCAGTTTCTCGTAAATTCGCCGTCTTAATTGTTCTTTGGTTTCCCAGCTTCCATGATAAACCTTCTTAGACAGTTCTCTATTGGGCGATCAGCCTGCGGCATGTTTGGGGGATTATCGTTTTTGGGAATAGAATGCGTATTGTGTTGTGGAAGCCAGTTCTGGGTATCTCTTGAGTAATGTCACGATGCTACCTCTGACCAAACTATGATATGGACATTAGCATGATGTTCATCGATTAGCTGAAGCAATTTATTAATATAGCTCTGAATATACAAAGTTTCTCCCCTCACTCTTCCCACAAAAGGTTGGGACACACCCCTATTTCGTACCAGACAAGGATTTTATATGCAAATTTCGCTTTATGTTTGTACCTAACATTGTGAGGGCATTCCTTTACGTTGTCCGTATGACATTCGTCGTTTCCATTCATTTCATAATTACTCAAAGTCAAATACGTTTCGTCATCTAAAATAATAACACTGGGTTACAAATGAAAACAAAAATTAAGTACCTGCTTTGAATTGTCATGCTTTCTTATTTGTTGCTACCGTTTACTAAGGGTGTATAAATATTTTCTTTACATTACATTTCATTTTCTTCCCTAAGTGTGTGTCAAATTACACTGAAAATTGCAAGAACCAAACATATTTTAAAAAAATATTATAAAATAGGCCATTTTTTATATTTGACACTTTTATTTTCATCATATATGCATAAAAAATTCAATAGAACTAAATTCATACAATGTACGAGCCCCTTCCCACTGCAGTTGGCCCAACTATTGAAATCTTAGTTTTTTTCGTATCAAACACAAATAATAAAAATGTAGCAGGGCGTTACAGGTGTAAAATATTAACAATGAATATTTTGATAATATATAGTAGAAAACACCAACTTTATCACCCATAATCAAATTTGCAGCATAAAAATAACACATGCTGCAATTACAGCCTATCAACCTATTTTCATTTCAATGCAAAACAAGTCTATAACGCATAGGTGGCTGTGAAAAATAAAAGCCATGACAATTGTTTTTATTAGTCACAGCTGTCAGAATACGTTTAAAATAGTTTTGGGTAGTTAAGGTTTTCAAAATCGGTAATGAAAAGGTTATTAGTGAGAAAATTCGGTTACTGATAATTAAATTATTTAATTCTGAGAAATCAAACTCAGAAATTGCAACTTTGTTAGACTTATCGCGGTACAGTGTGAGAAATATTGTTAGAAGATATAACGTAACTGGTTCGGTTAATATTAAGCCACGATATGTGAAAAAAGTAATATCATAAATGCCGACCGGAGAATAATCGTGAAAAACAGGCGTGGATTGACGCTGTTGGAAGGACAATTTCGAGGTCCAGAACTCATAGAGAGGCCCACTAACTGGGATTTAGCACTTGCAAGGTAAGTTTTCTTATAAAAAAAAGTGAAGTAAAACCCCTAAAGTTGCACAACTTGTTTCTATGCCAAAGAAAAGCCACTATCAACTCCACGGCAAAAGAAAAATCGGCTTAGATGGGCTAAAGAACATAGACAATGGACACCTCAACAATGGTGTGCAATACAATGGAGTGATGAGACCCGATTCGAAGTTTATGTTGGTGACAGTCGCAGTAGAGTTATTCGCAAAAAAATGAAGCAGTCCATGACTGAAGAGAGAAGTGAAATTTTCAGCATCCATTATGGTCTGGGGCAGTACGTGACCAAAAGAGTAGGAAAACTTCATTTTATTGGTGGAAATGTGGATACAAACAAATATATTTGACAATTTTAGAAGAATCGCTTTTACCAGTGACGGAAGAATGTTTGACATCCGGCCAAGATTTTGTGTTTCAGCAAGATGGTGCAGCGTGCCATACCTCAAAAAAAACTATAAAATGGATGGAAGAAAATAATGTACCATTTTTGAAATGGGTTTCTAGCAGTCCAGATCTGTCAACTAGTGAAACTTTGTGGCACGAGATGAAAAAGGTTCTACGATAACATCCTGCTCGTACAATCACCGAACTGAGACAAAAGCTTCAAGAAATATGAGATTGTTTTACACCAAATTTTTGCCAAAACTTGGTTAACACTATGCCCCAAGAAATTTCAGCCGTAATGAAAAATAAAGGTGATGCTACCCAGTGGTAATCTTTGAATTGTTGCTTTGTTAACTTCGCGCATTTATTCGCATTGTTTATTTGTTCAGATGTTCTATTAGTTATAGGTGTAGGCGATTTCAAATATGTATTTTTTACGACTAGAGTGTATCTGAAATGTTTTTGAGAAAATAAATTGTTTTAGAAGTAAATAGTTTCGTCATGTTTAGTTTGTAAAGGCATATTTTGGTACAAATCATGAAGTGAGCCAACTGAAGTGGGAAGGGGCTCGTAAATCCAGAATATTCCTAAATTCTAACTTTTTCGTATATGCTTTGTAGAATCTCCTCGTTTTAAACGCCAACAGTAATCGCCTAGCATAGTTATGTTCCAACGGCCTTGAAATCACTCCTCAAGCTTCTTGACATCCTGGTGGAACCTCTCACTGTGCTCATCACTGACAGCACCAAGATTAGATGGAAAGAAAGAAAAGTGGGAATGGAGGAAGTAAATTTTTAACGAAATTCTACAACCCAATCTAATCAATTTTGTGCCACGACTTTTAGTACGTACGTTAAGATTGTGGAAGTAACGAAATAGATTGCAAAAATATGGAATACAAAAACGTACAGGCAATTACAAAAAATATAAAATACAGAAAACAAGTCATACACCGATAAAACGAACAAGTAAGCTGTCCGAATTTACACAGTGGTGTCGTATTCATATACCCTTGTATAGGGTAAAAGGCATTTCTTCTAAGGCATTTCAAGATTATCATATTAAGACGATATTTTCGACTTGAAAGTTGCATAATAGGCATTTAATAATACAGCAGTATAAACAACTTGTTTTAATCTTAGAATAAATGCCAATGATGATAATTTATCTACTAAGGTCCGTATCGTCAGTCGTCCCTACAATTTTAGGGCGCCTTTATGGCCTCTTTGATTGTCATAGTTTTCTACTTATCCGTGTCAGCGCTCTATTTTGAGGTTATGTCACAAACATCTATTTGCATCAAATTGTGCTTGCTTTTGAGTTATATCATGTTTTATAAGCCTGAAGTTTACTACAATTTAAAAAGAAAACATATCTTCACAATAGGAGGGCGCTGACGCTGACACGGGACAAGTGTAATCTAGAAACTTTTTAAGGAGAGAAAGAAGTACGCCAATCAAGGAGGCCATAAACGCGCCCTACAATTGTAGGGACGACTGACGACACGGGCCTTAAGATATACATATGTTCACTCCAAATTATTTCATTATCAGCAGTAAGCGCAAGAATCTTCTTTACAAGTATATGAATTATTTCCTAAAAAGTCTACTCTTACTTCATGATTTCTGTTAGCGTTTAGTTTTAAATAATTACGAGAAAACAATTCTTTTATTTTAGATGTATTTTCGTACATATCATGCAGCATATTTCCTTCACATGAAGCAGTATCGAATAAAGTAGCATCACCTGCATAACACACCGTTACGGCAGGAAGCATATGTGCCGAGACATCGCTATTATAGATAATGAACCGTAAAGGTCCAAGGATGGCTCCCTGTGGAACCCCGTACTCGAAGCTACGCACATCGGATATACCATCGTTCAAAGATAAATATTGTAATTTATTGCTAAGATATGCTTCTAAGTTAATAAGGAGACCCTTACACCATACAAGGACAGAAAGTTTTTCAATCAAAAGCTGACGAGATACACAGTCAAAAGCCTTGCTAAGGTCACTCAATGTAACCCACGTGTCCTCGATTCTCAACGGCCCAAACTATACCCCCAACAACTCTTTCCACTGCCAGCATAGTTATGCAGTTATGAATATCTAACACAAAAGATACTGCTTTAAACAGTGTGCTTTTCGAACCTCTAAAATCTCTTACCTAAAGTCGATCACTTCAGCTCGTGCACTGGACACGCTCAATGCAGCAAATGACATGTGCGCCGCACCACTCACCAAATCACCAACAATCCCGTTCCACTGGTCATCAGAATCTTCGTTAAACGAAGAGGATGAACGGGTCATACCAGCCAGTTTCCTGCTGGGGTACTTCGTCAGATCCTCCTTCAATCGACTGTAAGAAAGTCATGTTTTAATTTAAATCTCGTTAGGTAAGAAGGGTATTTTTGGATGCTACGGGACTTATACGTCATGAAAAACCACGTCACTTTTTTCAGACGGTGTGTCGAGCTCTTCGTGGATCCTTGGCCTGTCTATAACTTGGAAAGTACTGTTTGGCTGGTTGGGTCGCTAGGGATGTTTGAGAGTTATATTTGTCTATATGTACGCACCACATTCTGTGTAAGATATGTACATTGTTCTTTGATGTTTCAGACAATGTCGATCGGTTTGTAGAAAATATTTGTTGGGGATGAAATGTTGCATCATTAGCATCAGTATTACTAAAAAACGTCTGATTCTGGTAATGTTACGCTTGTGTTAGATACAGGGTGACTTCTTCGAAGTTGAGTCATTTATTTTAACAGTGAGTAGATCTGATCAAAAGAAATGTTTTTTCCTCTAACATTTTTGTGGTAAAATTAAAGTAACAAAGTTATAGCCCTTTAGAAGTTTGAGTACCGCCCTGTCTCAATAATAATATTATGTGCTCGTGTTTGGCAACAACGGATATAATCCGCCTTATCGGTTCATCGCATCGGAAACAAAAAAGCGAAAGAATTTGAAACGCTTATCACGATGGTTTTACTACAATTTTATTCAGTTGTAGTCAGTCAATGTGTCAGTCGGTAACGCGTGAGTGAATAGTGGTGTTTGTTGCATGGCTCAAACGAAATAAAAAATGGCACATATTTACGAACATGCTGAACTTTTGGACATGATTCTTATTTGCGGGGGGGGGGACATTTACAAAATGCTGCCGCGGCATCACGGATTTATGCGGATCGGTTTCCCAATCGAGTGCAACCAACCCTCGTGCCTTTGTTAATGTAGTACAAATGGCTCATGAATCAGGTGACTTAAGACCTCACAGGGGAGGGCATGCCGGTGCTCCAAGACCGCACGATCAAATACAGGTCCGCACTGAAATACTTGTCGGGAGGATACTTTATGAAACAAGGTAACATTTTTTTTATTTTTTTTTTCATTTTTACACACATATTTTGGTTTATCTTCCTTCTACAATCATTATCTGAAAATTAATGACTCAACTTCAAAGTCACCCTGTATAATTGACATATACACCGAGAACCAAATCTGTCTGACGGTTCAAGTTCAATGTATGAGAGAGAAGTGCGTATAGACACACATATGTTAGAGAGAGATAGAATCCGCCTGGCGAAGCTCATCACCGCGTCGCCTAGCAACGCTGACGCGGCAATCTGCCCAAATAGTGGTTTTATTTTGAGCGTACACACTTTAGAATTGTGAATTGTGTCGTAGCTGTTTACGATTGATTCCCGATCGGTACTAATGGCGCTCCATTCTAGGTCGAAGTCAAAGGTCAGGATCCCCACAAATTCTGCAACATTGCATCATCATCATCGTTCAATAACACCGCATCTTGTACATTCCAACGCAAGGTTTCCACCTAAATGCTCATAGTTAAGCGATTTTGGTCAGTAGCCATCTAGCGCTGGTAAAGTAGTATCGTCCTGCTTTCACCTGCAAGCAGTGATAAGTTGCATTGCGTAACGATATTTGTTACATTTTCCGACCGCAATGCTGTCGCAAAATGTACCAATAACTAACCCAGGATGTGTTCATTTTATCACCAATGGTGGAAATTAAAGATATTTTTGAAGTAAATTAAAACACTAAGTCGTAAAAAAATTGAAATAAATAGTTCTGATCAGAATGAAAACAAAATATTGAATTAAATGTTTGAACCTCCTTCTGGGGTTTGACAGTAGCCTAACCTCTAGGACCCTGTGCGAACATTTTCTGATGTAATATATTGGCAAGGCGCCAGATTGCACGATCTCCGCGTCACCGTCGCTAGGCAATGAGGTGATGACCTTCGCTCTTCAACCTGCTTTTATTTTCTTTAACATGTGTTGATACACCTTACCGTGCTTTTCTCACGTACACAACATTGAACTCAAGCCGTCAGACATATTTGGTTCGCCCCGTATTTGTTAAATTAAAACGCCGATTAATTCAATTCACGCAAATAGTCGTTCAATCGTTACAGGACTTCCAAGTTACCTGTATAACTTCCCCATGACGACAGTCAGTTGACTCCTCTTGATGGAAAAAGTACGCGCGTACCTACATACAGGCGTCGGTGTATCTTTTACCACGGGTTGACACATCGCTTTTGCTTCTTCGTATCAAAAGTAAATTTTACTTAGCTTTTGCGTAGTCTGAGTAAATTTCATCTACCTTTCCCGAGATATCAAGAGAAAAGGTTTTAAAAGTTGCATCTGTAATATCAGGAAAGGGCGCCGTTTTATTGAGAAATGTCTGATCTCAGTAAGATTTCGAAACTTCGAGATATAATATGTACATGTGTTGTTCACGTATATGTCATTGGAATAGAAATGTGGTAGGTTTCTTCTTTAGAGTTTGATTTTATTAGAGTTCTTTGAAAATAAACTTGATTCATTGTTTCTTTTGACTATACATGTGTGTAGTTGACTTTTTTATGACTCATTTATCTCACCGACAAACTTTATCATATTGTGACAGTGACAGGTTTAGCAGATGTCAAACATGATCAAGGGATTCCAGTATAAAGGCCATTTTCTAGCATTGGTAGGCTTTGGCCAAGCTGTAGTGCGAGACCTACGAGAGGAGGCGCACGGAAAGGTTCGGATGCCGAGCTATGAACAATCTGAATGTGGTGTAAAGACAGTGGGCTCATTGAACTAAGTGGGTACTCAGTGCTTATCTTACGTCTTTGTTCCTTCGAGTATTTAGTTGTGCTGCGATATATGGATACATTTCCACATTTTCGTGTTATTTCTCTTATTCAACAAGGAAATACATATACATTTTTGGCGAATTAGAGATTAGTAACTCGATTTTGGGATTATTTTTTCGTCATAACGTTTTAGAAAAGTCAGTGAAAGGTCAGTGGGCGTGCTGATATGGTGCAGGGATGTTTGCAGATTGCAAGCTTTTAAGCGTGTGTCGGTAGGCTTCTTGTGATTCGAAACAAATACAACTGACTTAGTTGAGTGTATACCGCAAAACTTGGAAATGTATTTAGCAATTGTATTCAAAAATAATTCTCAACGATATGGGTTCAAACACAACTTACTAAAAGGTCTATATGTTATTTTTGTCCAAGTTTGACCTAAGGACGTTTGGACTTTCAAAACGTTCCCCGTGCTGGAACGGTGCATGCTAGAAATGCAGCCTTAGCTTTTACTCTACAGGATGCCCCAGAAGTCGACGTCAACCTGGAAACGTGGTATAGGCCAATTCACAAACGTTATCAGACAAATATGAAGAAAAATAAGTCGTGTACTTTTCAAATTATACGCTTTAAAAAAATCGTAAAAATCGGAAAATCTACACCCTGTGATGATCCTTTAATTCCACTACTACGAATTTCAATTTTTTCTTGGATAGAGTGACGGACCGTGTCATTATACGTAGTGACAGCAACAGAGATAGTAACACTACTTTTATTAATTCATGATTGAGTCGTGCCACCGAACGCCTTGTAAACAGGGAATCTATTAATTGTCAAATATTTGCTCCGGGAGAAATTCTGATACTTTGGCAAGAAAGAAGACAATAATATTATGGAAGCTGAACCCGGTATGTCCCCAGTCGACTCCTTCACTGGTTTAAGTGGAGTTAGCTCGGAGTGTGGCGCTACTTTGGAAAATATATCAGAAAATCAAAATAAGATGACACCAATGATGACGTCAGGGATGGCACCAGTACTGGAGAAGGAAAATGAGAACCAGATAATTTTTAAGATCATTGCAGGCCAAGCAGCCCAGATTTAGAGACTAGCTGAATGTTACGAGTATTACTGATAAATCAGTTACTAATGTTCACAATTATTCCAAATCAGCAAAATGAAAAGACATAATAGTCATCCGAGTGACCCACATACCGAGGCTGATGAGGATATTTTTACACCTGTCCGACGTCGCAAAACGAGACTGAGTAAATCAGAATTTCCTCCGCTACCGACGAAGTCCCCAAAATAATAAAAATTCAGCCAACCTAAAACCGCTTGTGTCTGAACCTTCTGCTGCTTCTACTAGCCAGCCTGTATCACCATCTACACAGAGTGCTCCTCCTGTTATACCTTATATGCAGTCTGATTCATTGGCTGGCTGCAATTCCACTTCCTTGCTATTCAGCGCATCTCTAAACACACAGGCCCAATCGCCTCGCCAGAGGCGAATTACGCTAATCGTGTTGAAAGATGAGACAAAATGGCGCACTTTAAACTATTCCTTCATAAGTCTTGATATTCGTGTTGAACGATTAGTTGTCGTTGTCGCTGGGATACGTATTATCTCCAAAACCGAAGACTATTATCACACTTTTCCTTTGTCCACTGAGCGCAACATACATGCGGTTATCAAAGGGATCCTAGCGTCAACCACCGAACAAAAGGTCAGAGATGAGCTAGAACAAGGATTACGCTCCCCTCCACATTATTCGCTTAAAACGCAACGTCGGCGTGGCGCTGCCCTTGGTGGTGGTGATCTTGCCTAAGACGGAGTAGTCGCAGCAACTGTTCAATGAGCACGAATTACTGGGGCTCGAAGTTCAGAAGTCTCGACTCATTGGGCAGTGTAACCGCTGCCAGAAGTATGGACACGCGCAGTCGTATTACACTGCGCCGCCAAAGTGTATAAAATGTGCCCAAGCCCACATGACACACATGTGCCCTCAAACAGGACAAGAGGCGCGCATATGTGGGAACTGTGGGGGAGACCATCTGGCTAACAGTCTACTACTCTTATGATAAATCTATAAGTCATTGCACAAAAGCGAGCAAAGCCATACCCGGATGCAGCAAGAGATGGCACCTTGCTGCCTCTGCTGTTTCGAGCTCATCTACGACTACTAAAAATGTGGATCTAGCAACAGCGCTCAGGTCCCTACAGCAGATTATTAGTCCTCTTATAAGCGCCACTAAGGCCTTGCAGGCGATCTTTCCGCTAAATGGCTAGGTACAATAGTGGACAGTCTGAATTCATCAAAATTCTTTTCTGGAATTGTTTGGGTATAAGGGATGTCAAGCTCTTTTGGATGAAAGATGTGGCTGCAGGAAATCTAGTGTGACCCGAGAGATTGACTAGCTTTCCCGAATTATGGTGTTATCCTCGCTGATAGATTAAGTGGACGGGGTGGCAAGTACTAGTAAAACGTGGTGTTGACTATTACAAAAGCATAAACGCTGAAATGCAGAGCATCAAGGCAGCTTGGTAGTCAATATGACACGAGGTGTCCCGTTTAAAATCACATCGGTTTATGTCACGTGTGGTGCCAGGCTGCAAGGGAGCGTCAACTGTAAACATCGAGCATGGCATTCTAGGTAAATTCCACCAGTGGTATTTGACTCCACAACCATGTGATACGAAACCGATTTAGTCATCTCCAGGGACCAGATGTCATTAACTTCGCAATATCTAGAAGCTGTAGAAACAGTGCCACTTGTCGAATCATGTATGACATTTCAAGCTATCATCTTCCCATTGTATTGGAAGTGGGTAATGAGCAAACCTTGGAAGAGAAAACTCTTCCAAAGGAATGGGTTGATCGAAAACTATACAGGTCGCTCCTAAGAGGGTTCCCCAATTTCCCAATATTTGATGATAAACGGTATAGATGCGCCTTGAGCAGAGCGGACCAGCAAGCTCTGCAGCGCGCAGCTGTACTACCAGTAAAACGACACGGTAGACCTTTTCTCCCTGCAGACAGTCGTCAGAAGGTTCCTGACAAAGGAGCGTCAATTAAGTAACCGAAAGGGTCTTGTCATCTTGATAACATATTATGCAGAGCGACGAATCTTGTTCATTACGTGATAAATGCTTTTCATCATGCAATGGCAGCAATTCCCGCACATCCACAGTAATGGGGGTATAGTCTTTAGGACAATCTTGATAATGACCTCGACAAGGAGCAGGATACGCCAGGAGATATTTCAGGGTCAATGGCGTCAGTGGCAGAAGCAGTGATAGTGATTATTCCTCAGAGGAGTCTTCAGAAGATTCCTCAACTGAAGAGCTGCATAGCTCATTAGAGGAATTTCATGCAATTCCGCATTGCACACCAGCAGTGCTTCAAGGTCATATTAAAGACCTCGAGGTGTGTAAAACGCTTAAAAATCAAATCACTAATAAGGCGCTTAAGTTGCTTTCGCGGAAGTCCTTAACTTATCTCGTGGCAATAATCAATGCCATACTAAGGAACCAGTACTTCCCAGTGGCATGGAATACCGCTGATATTATAACGATTCCAAAGAAGGTGGGTTCGATATTTCCCAGGATTACCGTAAAATCAGTCTACCGTCAGCTCCTTCTAAGCTCGCTGAAAAGGTGATTCTCGAAAATTTCTCGTCAGACCACAATGTGATTCCTGACGTGCAATTTGGCTTTCTGTCTGAGCATAGTACGGAGTTACAGGCTGTTAGGATTGTTGAACGAGTAAACAGGGGATTCACGCGTAAAGAAAGTACTGTCATATTGCTGCGGGATGACTCAAAGACATTTGACAAGGTGTGGCACAAGTGCCTCCTCTACAAATTGATTCATAAGGGCTTCCCTTCTGGCTCCTAAAACTTTTGAAACCCTTCCTTGAGTGTAGGAAATTTTGGATAAAAATTAATAAAGTTCTATCAAAAATATGACCCATCAAAGCCGGTGTCCCTCAGGGTTCGGTTCTTGGACCAGTCCTTTATTCATTTATTGTTTATGACGTCACTTGCCCCAGCAACTGTGAAATCTATCTCTATGCTAATGACACTGCCCTGATGGCTCAGTCGTATCGTGGGAATCTAGTTCACGATCATAAATAATCATTCGAAAACGCAGGCTATCTATTGTACTACAAAACGTAGCGGCGCCCCGTCTGAGGTTTCAGTGAATGGATTGCGGGTACCATGGGAAGGTTCTGCTAAGTATCTCGGTGGCACTCTTGACAACTGGATGACCTGGCAGAAGCACACTGAAGCGTTAAGAACTAGATTCCAAATCTCGTTTCGACAACTCTACCCTATGCTATGTAGAACCTCAAAATTAAGTTTGATCAACCATGTTCGGCTATACAGAATGGTTATTAGACCAGCTATGACTTACGCAAGTGCGGATTGGTGTTTTCTCGCCAAAAACAGAACAGAACTTTGCGTACAATCGCTAATGCCCATGGTATGTCTCCAATGAGACCCTTCACAGAGACCTGAGGGACTACATCAAACAACAAAAATAACTACGTTACAGTCAAGCGAACTCGCAAAGCAAGCCTTTTATGTGCAAGTCAGTAGACACTACACAGTCGAGCAAGTTCGCAAGCACACAAGGCCGCTCGCACTGTGAACAAAATCAAGTCGTGCGACTTTAAGTCCAACCAAAATTATAAATTTTCTTCAACAACCAATCTCTAAATCAACTTTAGGATCAATTTAAAATCGCCGAATACTAGTTTGCAATACCAAGGCGCCCCTCAAATTGACGCACTTTATTCTTCTTTGCTCTCCCTCCATCCTTCCTTTCTTTTATCTTCCCTTCTTTATCCCTGACCTTTTCTGGTATCTAAGCCAGACCTGACTTTAACCAAGTGCAAAGGTCCTACGGACCGCTCTGACTGACAATGACGAATAGAAGACTAGTACCACCATGTCGGTGCTCACATTTATGGGGAATGAAGATGTAATGCTAGTGCCCCAGCTGGGCTTTATCGATGACCCAGTTATTTTGAATGTACACGTCGTACTACAAAAAGTCGAAGAAGACCCGAGTACTTCAGTTAGTCAAATAGAAGGCAGCCCATGAGTGCCCAACAGTACAGCCCACCGAATCAGCGAGTACAACCCCGGGATTATCTTCTAAGGGTTGATTTTTGTCAAACAACATCACAGAGACATCGGGACGTACCGTGATTTTTGGAGAAATTTTTATGGACTGATGAAACGATATTTAAAAAAGAGGGTACATGAATGACATTCCACATTTGATGTGATCATTGTACCCTTTGAGGTGTTTGTTCCTGAATGGCGAAGTTCATTTAGACTTCTTACAAAATCACTTAGCAAATTTATTGGAAGACGTTCCAGTAAGCATTTAGGTACAGAGACATGTGGTACCAGCAAGACCGTTTCCTGGTGCACTATGCCCGTTCAGTTGATGCGGAAGGCCCGAGTAGATGGATATCGCGATCTCGTACAATTTCATGGCCAGCCCGTTCACCTGACATAAACCTACTCGATTTTTTTTACTGGGGAGCGGGAAAGGATAAGGTGTACTCAAAGCTGAGGGGGCAGAATAACGGAAAGCATTTGAATTTGTTAATAACGGAAGATTTGCCCATCTGATAACCCAATCATTTTCACGATGTTAAGCTCGCGTTGCTGCTGAAGGAAGGTAGTTTGAATATTTATTGTGAATTCAATGAATACATTCACGAATTAATAAAAGTGTCGTAACTATCTCTCTTGATGTCACTACGTAGAATTTCACTGTCCGTTACTCCGTCTAAGAAAAGATTGAGATTTGTAGTAATGGGAACTAAACAATCATCACAGGATGTATTTTTCGATATTACCGATTTTTTCAAGCTTATAGTTTGAAAAGTACACGACTTGGATTTTTTCAATATTTTTCGGGTAACTATTATAATTTGGATTATCCCGCGTTTCCGGTTCGACTTCTGGGACACCATCTTGTTGTCAAGATGACATATTCAATATTATGTACAAAATGTTCAACATAAGATCCTACCTGTAACTGAGGAACTTCTTCCCCACATCCCTTCGACTCCTTCCTTTTTTTCTTCTGACAGTATTTGACCCAAACATGCCGTCGGCGACTATGTACAACCTAAAATCGAATTCTAATTCTTGAGCAACGTTTTCGAGTAGGTCCATCGAGAGACCGTAACAGCAATTTGTGCGATATTTGAACTTCTGGAAAGGGAGGAATCTTTCTTCGTCGTCATCTTCACCGTAATCTGAGTAGTAGGCGCTCGCCTTTTCTTCTGTCGTAGCGGATTCTTCCTGTTCTTCTTCCTCTTCTTCCAGTCTAGCCATTTCGTTGAACACCAAGGTGAGGTTGTCCTTGTCGGAAGTCAGAACACGGTGACATGGCAACCCTGAAAGAAATACCGACGGCTGTTTGACAAAGACCAATGTACCAGCTTTTGGAAATACAGCGAAGGAGATAAACCTAAAACTAAATTAACATAAAACAAAACTAACATTTGTTTTATTCTGTGAGTGTCTTATGATGCGCTTTGTCCAGGAAAGTTGTTGGATCAAAATTGAATGCATGAAGACATGCTAAAAGTTGATTTTTTCGGTACGGTCAACGTGTTTTTAGGTTATTTGGGACACTGTGAACTAGAAAATGCTATTTACAACTTATCTGTAAAAATAATGGATTTCAAGATTTGAGCGATACATCATTTGAAAAAACGCAAAAAGCCATTTTCGACTCCAAAGAGCAATATGGACAACGACAGTTTTAATATTGTCGAACTTCCTAAATACTCTATAAACATCCATCAACAAAATTCAATAGCATTTTAGAGGTTTTGGTGTTTTCAATCTTTGTTTTTCAATTGCTAACCAACCATGCACTCGATGGCACAAAATGGCATATTTTACACTTTTTAAATATTGTAACGTACAGATCTCAAAAACCATCAACTTTAGAGAAAAGTTTGATAGCTCGTTTTTCAGAATGTCTTACGAAGCTTTGATCAGAGCATAGAAACAAATTTTTTGGGATTATTAAAAACCGTTTAAAACATTTTTAAATCGTATCAGAATATTTTTGCTATCAGATGCCAAGATATCACTTGGAGTAATCATGCAAACTTAATCTAAAAGTTGCCAGACGCTTTTAAGGAGAATCGCTGGGGAAGCTAACGGTTGAGCCACACCTCCTGCTCTGCTATGTCTGCCCTAAATCAAGCAGGCTTTGAATTGGTCAGATTATCCAACGCTCTCGTTAGTCCTAACCTCGGCAATCTTAGTAGGCTCTCAAAATTAGAACAATCTAAAAAGATTTTAGTTGGAAAACAAAACATATAAATCAAATGCAGCTTTATTATTATTAGTTTATTATTATTAAACTCTTCGAATATTCCCCTAAAGACGGAATATAATAAATTGGTTTGGCGAGCAGTAACTCTGTTATGCTAACATTAACCCTATTAATAATTTCATACAGTTTGTCCGGAAACTATTGTACACAAGGGTAGGTTTCCATTACAACAAATTTGCCGCACATGTACCAGAAATGGAAACGGCTTGTATGTTGCGGCACCCGTACTGGGGAAAGAAATGTCAAAAGACGCTATATACAATTTTTGTGGGATCATTACTCATTACTCACCGTACTCCATTTCCTTTTAGAGACAAAAAAATTCATACTAACCCTAATTCGTGATTCAAGTAATAACATTGCGATATAGTTCTTTGACACCATAAGAAGAGCAAAGTTCTTGAACACCTAATGAGTATGGAGAATCTAACGGTAATAATATCATAATAATTGTAGATGTCTTTTGACACTAAGACCTCGAAGAGCGTTTGCATTTAAGAAGTCTGCAGGTGTATGTTGTGCAACAATCCTCATAAGCGATTGTTGCCAATTTTTTCATTGCTATTATATTGAATAAATGATGTCATTCCCTCTTTCGTCTAGATTAGTTTCCCATTATTATAGCACATTCCTCTCCACGTTAGATGAAGTATTATGGGACAATGCCCCGGAGAGGTGGTTAAATTCTAGCATAATGAATTTAATAGCTTCTTTGTGTTGTGATTGCTAAATGTTACTAAGCCACGTTAATTCTCTTTTATTAACCTCTTTTGGGAATATTACTCTTTCTTAATGGAACTGTAAAGAATATGGCGTCAAGCAGACTAACTCGGCGCTCGCCTTTGGACAAGCTTCAGTTTTTGTGTGCTGATGCACCTATGTGGCACGCGATCAAGTTTTCTTGTAAAAACGTAACTCCTGACCTAGGTTTGTGACACACACCTGCGTGATGGCGAACCGAGAAAACAAAGTAACTTGAAACTTTGAATTTAATGTAGCTATTTTACGATGAATTAAAGGCGAGTCTATTGTAACCGTCTGTATTGTTTATAATAATATGTGAATGAGACCCCTTTTTTCCACATTCTGCATGCTGAAATTATATGGCATAACTCAGAAGAGAAGAAGTCATAACTGATTTTATTTCTGAAATCAACGATTTCAGACTAGGGAGAAGAGCAAAATCGTCATTTTTTTGTCTTCAAAATCTCAGACTGTAGTCAGGATGGAAATGCAAACTGGTGGACTTGACATAAGTAAATTTTTTGACAGTTCATTAAATTCGTAATTTTAGAAGTGCGAGCGATTGCAGATAAATGTGGTGCTAGACATGGTAGTTCTTGCAAGCTTTGCAAAAAAGCACTATACTAATGAAGTTAGGTAATTCCACCGGTAAGATTTATTATTTTATTAATATAACGTTGTCACTTTGCTAGACAGCGGTAGTCAAAGGAGTGAAACGCATGCACTAAACCATGCAATGTTGGCGACAAACAATGCAATCTAAACATATAGACTTGGGTCCTTCTAGTCTATTCGAATTCGTTGTGTGAAACCGTTACTTAATCTTGACTATCGACTTTGTTGATCGGATGGACAAAAGCAGTATGATTAGTTTTTAATGTGTGGGCGGAATATTACTCATGAACAAATACATTTTGGAAAAATTTATTTATGGGATGTTATACATGACATTTGAGGGCACATTTCTAAAATATTGGCCATTGTACAGGGTGTCCAGTTTCGATCTACATATCAAAGTTGTGATTTTTCAAATTGAATGTCTCAAATTTTATTGCACATTTGGATAAACCAATTCAAAAGAAGAATATTGATGTAACATACTATGGAGGTTGGTAATTAGCTACTGAGATATAACGTGTTTTGTCTAGAAAAACCCCCCAGTTCGGCAACCCCTCCGCCATTTTGAAATTTGGAGTCCTGAATTTTGTATCAAAAAAAAACCTACACACCTCAGCTTCTATCTTATTTGTTACTTTTACGAATTTTAGTTTTTGCTCATACAAAAACGAAAATTGTAGTTTTTCTCAAAAATTTCAAATGCATCACCCTGTTTATTTGTGCAAGTTTGGATTCAATCTTCCATAAGCTTTTTTTGATAATCGACACATAAGGGTTTTTACGGCTATTTTTTTGGTTATTAGCACGTCTTTTATGGAACGGCTTAATTCCCCAAAATATCGCGTCATCCTTGGAAGCAAATAAATTGTTGATTAGTTACAAACTGTCAAAATTAGCTTTGTGAGCATCATAATAAAAACGTGTTTGAAAATGAATGTTTCTCAAGAAGAAACAGTTTCCTAGCATCTCGCATTTATAAGCCACGGTAGCCTAATATGCGACATCCAAGGCCGGAAACATTTCCCACACTACGAGAATGTTTTGAATCAAGTGGGACCGTGGAATATAGTAAAAAATGTATAAAAAGTGTCACCAATGAGACGAATCAGTTGGAGATTCCAGTAAAGTTGCAGCAAAATACCCATTTAAGTGCAAGGCAAATTGGAGCAGAAACTGATATATGCAGAACTTTTGTCCATTATTCACAAGCATAGCTACCATCCACATCACCTATGCTTGCATCAAGGCCATCGTCCTCAGGATTTCGCAGCTCGAATGGAGTTTAGTAGAGTAATGTTAAATAAAGTGAGTGAAAACGCTACTTTCCTGGATAAGGTTCTTTTTAGATTAGCGATGAGGCAACTTTCAGCAGCATAGGTGTTGTCAACAGGCATAACATTCACCATTATGCGACAGAAAACCCTTACTGGGTTAGGCAAATAGATTTACAAAATAAATGGAGCTTGAATGTTTGGGGGGGAGTTATTGGCAGACAAGTTATTGGGCCTTTCTTTTTCGACAACGGATTAACTGGTACAGAATACTTAAATTTTTTGATCGAGCATCCGCCTTTGCTTTTGCATGTGTAATACCAACATGACGGCACACCTGCGCACTATCATAATCTTGTGCGTAACTATTTGGACACCTGGAGTAACAATCGTTGGATCGGTAGTGATGGGCCCATACATTGGCCTCCTAGATCACCAGATATGACACCGATGGACTTTCTATGGGGCTACTTTAAGCAACAGGTTTATAGATATCCACCATCTACCCCAGAAAATATGAAGGAAAGGATTAAGGATGCTTTTCTGAAAATAGGGGAACACATGCTGAGGGATGTGTAACGGTCATTTATCCAAAGACTACGGGTATGTATTCAGATACTTTCGAGCAGTTTTTGTAGATTAGGTCTTGAGTAGTGATAGTTGTTTGTTTATATTTTTGTTATAGTTGTTTTTCTCTATTACGCTTGAAGCTGATTTATACTGTTCTGATTGTTATTAGTTTTTACATCAAATCTGTACTCTAAAGTGGCAATATATAGAACTAGCCCACTGTTTGTCTTTTGTTTCCATGGATGATGTGATTTATTTCCTTAATTTTGGTGTGTTGTTCTATTACGACCTTAATAACTCAAAATCTAGTGATTTTATCTGAATCAAACCTTATACTAAAAAAAGCTTATAAAAAATTTAATCCAAACTTGCGCAGATATACAGGGTGACTTCGAATTTGAGTCATTTATTTTAACAGTGAGTAGATCTGATCAAAAGAAATGTTTTTTCCTTTACCATTTTTCTGGTAAAATTAAAGTAACAAAGTTATAGCCCTTTGGAAGTTTGAGTACCGCCCTGTCTCAATAATAATATTATGTGCTCGTGTTTGGCGACAACGGATATAATCCGCCTTACCGGTCCATCGCATCGGAAACAAAAAAGCGAAAGAAATTGGAACGATGTTTTTACAATTATTTTATTATACAGTCAGTGTCAGTCGGTAACGCGTGAGTGAATAGTGGTGTCTGTTGCGTGGATCAAACGAAATCAAAAATGGCACATGTTTACGAAAATGCTGAACTTGTGGACATGATTCTTATTTACGCGGCATCACGGATTTAGGAGGATCGGTTTCCCAATCGAGTGCAACCAACCCCTCGTGCCTTTGTTAATGTAGTACAACGGGCTCGTGAATCAGGTGACTTAAGACCTCCTAGGGGAGGGCATGCCGGTGCTCCAAGACCTCACGATCAAATACAGGTCCGCACTGAAATACTTGTCGGGAGGATACTTTATAAAACAAGGTAAACATTTTTTTTTAATTTTTTTTTTATTTTTACGCACATATTTTCAAGTATGCAATAAAATTTGAGGCATTCCACTTAAAAAATCCCAACTTTGATATGTAGGTCAAAATTGGGACACCCTGTATAATTCCCAATATTTTAGAAATGTGCCCTAAAATGTCTTGTATAACATGCTATAAATAGACTTTCCCAAAATGTATTTGCTTATGAGTAATATTCTGTCCACACATCTATGTACAATCTACTGCATCAGCACAATCGACGGTAGTAAGAGATCACAAATCCGCTAAAGGGCTGCATTCCACTCTTGCAGTGGTCGATTCTGACAATGCAGTGAAACCGTTATGTTATGCTGTTTCTGTGTATTTTATCTCATTCATGAATATTTATGTAATCACTCTGCGTCGTCTTCATTTATATACATCCAATCACCTCCTTCATTTACTTACCCCTGAGACACTGACCATCTTCATCTAATTCGCTCTCCATCACGAAAGGCGGTGCTAACGCAGTGACCACCCTGAAGATGGTTCTGGGTCTGGAAGAAACTGCGGCCACCGAGAGGTCGCCACCGGGCCAGATGATGGTGTCCAGTCTGACCGATCTACCAGACACGATTCCCACTCTTTTCCACTTCACCTGGGTGGCTGTTGATGAAGGTACATCTGGAAGCAATATTTTCTTTGCCAAAATACCTAGCTAATGATCTGGGTTCTTGAATATATTGGGTGGTATTAATAAAACGTGAATACATGCTCTTAGTACGTGCTTAAGAAGAAATTGAGTAGATGCTAAAAAAGTGAGCATGTACTTACATTTGGTATTAATAAAATTTTGATGTAAAAATGGAGCACCTCCTTCGGCCTTGTGAGTACGTGCTCCAAATAATACCGCTGGCGCTGTGGATATTTCCGAGTTTCGACAGGTCTTTTATAATATGCATTGCGATATTTAGTGCGATTGTCCTAGGTCCTATCAGTGAATATATTTTACAACAATGGTTACAGAAGAGGATGCCAACGCCAACGGGAAAACTTGTGAAATATTAAGCTTTGTTAGTATTATTGAAAAATTTCCCGTACTTTTCTAAAAGTCTAACATACCCGAGATTAAAAGAAAAAAGGCGAATGCAATCGAGGAGATAAAAGGTAGACTAGCAGATCGACTGGGAATAGAAATGAGAGAGAATAATCCAACTGAAAATACACATTTATTCCGACAATTGTTTTAAATGTTGTTGAAATTGGACCAATAAATGCTACTCATCATATCCCTATATAAGTCTTTGCCGGAACCATTTAATTTCCTCAAAAAGTATTACAATTTTTTATTCAAAATTGCAATTGCTTTTGAAACTAAAAAAAAAACTCTTCAATATTGTTATTATAATTTCTTAGCGAGTATTTCTGTATGTGATGAAATATTAACATAAATCAAACTAAATCAAAAACATTATTTATATTTCTACAAGACTACTTTTTTACAAAATATAAATACTAGAAGTTTTCAGAAGTTCTTGTTAATGAGAGTTTCCTGTATATATAATATAATACAAAATACAAATACCACTTAATTACTAATGACGAAAACCATGAATTATTCTTGCTATTTCGTCTCTTCTTAATAATTGTCCTCTCTGGCGCACAACTGCCTCACCATATTCTACAGGCATCTGTACAGCTTCATCACCATTATTGTTGAGATCTTGCAAGATTTCAAAATTTTCCTCGTTGAGGTGCTTTGCAACATTATGCAAAATAAAGCAGCTTAAAATAAGAGATGAGACTTTTTCTGTCTTTATGCGAACTTTTTTGCAGTATATAAACGCTGTTTAACTTGGCCAAAACATCTTTCTATTATAACTCGTTCTCGAGTGAAAGACTTATTGTACGAAATCTGATCTGGAGTAAGAGGATCTCTGTATGGCGTCTTAAGCCATGGAGTATGTCCATAACCCGAATCTCCAAGGAGAAGTGCACTAGCTCTATTCCACTGCATAATGTTAACAATGTCGGAATTTCTCCATATACGCGAGTCATGAACGGCCCCCGTCCAAGATGCATCCACACTTGTAAACTCTTCTCGACCGTTGCAAGTAGCCTGGACGTTAAGACTACAAAATCCCTTTCGATTGACATATTCATTTCTATGTACTGCCGGTTTAATAATAGGGATTTGAGTGCAATCAATTGCGCCGATAGCGGAAGGAAAATTGTATTTTTCTTGCCATTTATATTTCTCTTGCTGCAATGCAAAGGTTGATGAGCACTTTATCCATACATTTGATTTTCGTACTATACTAATCATTACTGCTGCCACTGCTACAGATACCGTTGTTTGGTGTACACCAATGTCCTCACCAACGCCACTTTGAAATCCCGGGTCGCCAACGTAACGAAGAAAAATTCTCATTTTCTCTGTTTTCAAACTCATCTCCTAAGAAATGTTGAGCCAACCATTCCACGTTGTTCTTATTAAATCTATATAAAACCCGATAGTCTACATTCCGAGATTCTCTCCGAACTTTATAATGCGTTCTCGCACGATGAATAGGCATAAATTCAGCCATCGCGTCTGATAGTACGTTTGTTACTGATGCTGAGCAGATAACTTAAAATTATTTGAGTAGCTGCTTCATCTCGTTAGCACATGCTACTTTTTATTCATACCTAAACTTAAGCAGATACTAACTTTTACGAACATACTTACAAAAATAGTAGGTGCTTCTTACATGAGCACCTTTTTCATCATTTTATTCATACCATGTGAAGTACGTACTCCAAAATTTCAAGTAAAAAGCAGGTGCTTAACTTTACTAATACCACCCATTGTTTCATTTTTTACTACAGTGTAAAACAAATCACTACCAATTTTTTTTGAAGCCACTCTCGTGCTGCCGAGTAAAAAAAGTCTAAAAGGAAACTGGATACTAACCTGTGTAATTGGAGTACGTACTAAGATCAGGAACTAAATTAAGTATTTCAAAATTTGCAACTAATGATTTGTCCACTTTTTCAACGCCAATTTCTTGTGTAAATTTTCTACCGGCTAAGGCATTTGTACAGGCAACCTTCAATTCCCTGAAAAGAAATGAGGTAAGTCAAATGTTTATCTATCTGAGGATTATTGTAGCACTGGGATTAGATTGTCAACAGGAAAACCGACTGAAGCATAGTAAAGGTATCAAAAAAATACGAATATTTCGACGGGGCTAGTTCACCACTGTCAACCAGTTATTGTCGTTTACGCCTGGGTCCTATTCGAAAAAAGCATGATGTAATAATTACAAGTGAATATACTCGTAACTTGTTCTAAACAGAGATATTGTATTCCATGTAAGTTTCGAACACAATATGTTTGTACTACAAGTACACATAAGTTACAAGATCATATTCTCAAGTTGGATGTTTATGTTCTACAGAAATACAAGTGATTTTTTTTGTAATTTTGAATACATCAGCTACATGTGATCCTGATTTGGTCCATAAGAATAGGACAAGGTTTTGGGTGTCAGAAATGCTCAGATAATAACGCATAGAGGACCAACCATATTTTTCTATTCCCCTTTCAAGCAACGTTGGATTCACCCATAAAACATGTACCTGGAATTTTTTAACAAAGTTAATTATATGGGGTTGTACAAAACGGACGCAGGAAAGTAAACGCATATTAAAACAAGAAAGATTGATATTCAAATCAAGTTGGGTACTTTATTTTGAAGGTTCATTTATACCATTTATGTATGAAAAATAATATCGCTCAAATGTTCACCACGACTGGATTTACAGACGTCCACGCGATGGTCGAAATTTTCAATGACATTTTGCAACATGGTCGGTTATATGGCATTTATCTCGGCAATGATGTTGTTTTTGAGTTCTTGGAGGGTGGCTGGTTTGTTGACGTAGACTTTGCTTTTCAAATATCCCCATAAAAAGAAGTCCAAGGGAGTCAAATCGCACGATCTTAGTGGCCATGGCACATTTCCTCTGCGCGAAATCACGCTATCACCGAAGAAGGGCTGCAATCGATGGATATTGACGTTGGTTGTGTGGCATGTTGCACCGTCTTGTTGGAAATTAACATCGTCCATATCCATTCCTTCAAGTTGCGGCAAAAAATAGTCCTCTATCATCACGTGATATCACTCAGAATTGACGGTAACGGCGTCCCCGGCCGCATTTTCGAAAAAGTAAGGTCCGCACACCACACAGTCACTTTTTGAGGATGCATCAGCTGCTCTTGATACTCACGGGGATTTTCGTTCGCCCAGATGCGGCAGTTTTGCTTGTTTACCGTCCCATTCAAAGTGAAATGCGCTTCGTCGCTGAACATGATTTTTGATGAAAAATTGGCATCAATTTGGCGGTGTTCAAGGAGCCAATCTGAGAACGTTCGGCGCGAAAAATAGTCGGCCCGACGCAGCTCTTGCGTCAATTGGATCTTGTAGGCGTGTACATTCAAATACTTGTGGAGAATGCGGAGCAAACTGGTTCTCGAAATGCCCAATTCTTGGGATCAACGCGTTGTTGATTGTTTCGGATCGTCTCTCACACTCTCCTTCACAACAGCAATATTTTCCGGTGTGCGAACGCTCCTTGGCCGGCCAGAGCCTGGCAGATTTGCCACAGAACCTGTTGCCTCGAATTTACGCACCAGACGACCGATGGTTGTTTCGTTTGGGCGGTTGTTGCGACCGAAATGTTCACGATGCGCGCGAAACGTGTTTTTTATTTTTGCGCCATTTTTGTAGTGCTCTTGAATAACTTTAATGCGGTCTTCAATCGAATACGACTCCATAGCGATCAATGGTAAACATTCAACTAACAAAATGACTTGTCGGTGACAGAAAACAAAGATGGCGTCTATGTCAAATTGACGTTTACTTTCCTGCGTCCCTATTGGACAACCCTACTATATTTAGTGACAGGTAATTGCGGCTAAATTTTGCAAGGCAACTCTGATTCAATCCATTCTATCATATATCATTCATAAAAGTTTTATAAAAAAAAAAACAGATACCGGTAGACTCAAGCAGCCGGATCTTACACTATTATCTCCGAATGGGACAACTACGAGTCATTTGTTTTATATGAAATTATCGTATTATCATGCTCAGATAAGTTCATTTCGAAGTTTTATATTGAAGTATGATGTCATTTTAGCCGAGTATTTGCGCTGCATATCTGATAATGTATGCCGCATAGTCAATTTCGGTACTACTTTAACTTTTAATGTTTCAGTTATTCGTTCAAATTATTAGATTAATATGTTAAACAGATATACAGTCTTTTGAAGGTTAGCTAACAAAGCTAATTTGCCTCGAAATAGAATCGAAAATGTGGAAAAAAATAGAAAAAAGCACTACCGTGAATTTTATAGTACCTTTCAAGTGTTGCTTATAACTACTATTCGGAGTTGTACTTCTATTCAGAAACACGAGTTTATTAATTAGTTTGTGAGATTGGAAGATATCTGGTCTCATAATATGCTCACCTTGATGCTTCTACGAACGTCACTTGTACATTATAAAGAAGGTTGCGCAGCTGTGGATGGAAACATCCAGAAAAATCATTGGAATATTCTCGTCAAAGTTCGGTTCTTACAAGTCGTTATTCAATTTGACCTGTTAGTATGTTAAAATGTTAGTGTGGGACCAATCTTCAAACTGAATTTTAGACCGGTTAACCTTAACCAATTGAGCTACGATTTTGTAAATATGTTTGGTAAGAGTAACAATACAAAATGATTTGCCTGGGGAACCGACGGATGCTACAACATGGGATTCATCATGTCCTATCATATGGGTATCAAATGAAACAACAAAATGGCGCTTTACGTTTTTAATAGTCTCCCTTATGATATGGGTATTAAACGAGAGGTCCAGATGAGAGAGACGAAATACACAAAGTGAAGTCATTCTAATTCCAGTATGGCGACCGCCCCAAGATGGCGTTTATAAGTGCGACTTTCTAAGTCCAATATGGCGGCCATCACAGAATGGCGATTTATAATTTCCATAGTCACCCCTATACAATGGGTATCAAATGCAGATGCTTGAAGAGGGAAACATAATAAGCAAAGTGACATCATTCTAAAGCGATATATGATTTTGGCGCTATATGGGTACCAAATGAAAGGGCTTAATTAAAATTAACGTCACCCTGAGTTCCAATATATCGATTTATCGTTATATGGTTAAATTATAAGAAATAAGAATATATAATAAGAAATTGTATATAAATTACCAAATTAGTTATATGACATCATAAATACTAGCAAGTAGAAAACAAATAAAGTGAAAAATATATTTTTTGAACAAGCTTTTATTTAGTTGTTTATAAAGTCAACTGAAAACTTCAAAGTATGTTTTTTCGATTTTACTTCGAATTACTTAAACAATAGTGAAGCTCTTTCATCACTTTACGCTTTGACAGCAGAATGGAAAAAGTGCGTAACACTTAAGATTAATGGAGCTTCATCGTCGTTCAAATCTTTCCAAAAGGAAAAAATAATTTTTAAATTCTTAGTTCACTTTATTAACAGCTAAAGCAAAGCTTGTTTCTTTTTTATTTGATTTATTACAAATCTGATTTGCGAGCAAACACTTGTTTGGCCAACACACCGCTTTATGCATGCCTGGTTTGCATAGCGCCATACGTTGCAGCTGGTCAAGCTGCATGCAGACTCGGGCTGGATGATTCAGATTTTTTATAAACCGAATAACTCGGTTATTTTCGGCATCGGTGTATATGTTACAAGAAAATGTGGCTTATTTTTACGAGTTGTATGCCGAATATCGTATCCTTTTTTTAAAGTATAAGAAAGGGACAGTCGCCCTTTTTGCAGCAAAGGAACCGAGGAGATACGGTCTCGTAGCTGAAAAGAATTACGTGGGAAATTAATAACACTGTAATAATTTCATTTCCCGTTAAAAATACAAGCTAGCAAGGTTGGTAATTCTTTTCCCGTCACGGTGAGCTGTCTCTCTCTATATTCGGAGCTACCACGAAACGAGCCGCGTTTCTCGGCTAGGAAGGACGGTGGAGATATTTATGAAACTGATTTATCGCTCGGAAACCTTTTACAGTCCGGTGAAACGGTGTTGCTTTCTCCATATGACAGCGTGGAACGTAACAGAATAGAGGTTTATTAATTTTGTCTTCTCTTTTAGTTGGCTTTGAATGCTACAAATCAATAGATTGGTGGTTAATATTATCACGAGTCACCATCATGTAACTCTTTATACGCGTCATCTTTAGCTCATGAATGCATGTTTTCTGGCGAATTATTCTCAGCCAAAGTGGGGATAGTACTGATTATATAAACTATACTCTAGGCGCTGAAGAAAGAAACTAAACCCAAACAAATACACGCATATTGCTCGTGAGTGAGTGTTTAGGCGCAGGAGACATTACAGGACCGCATCAAGATATTATGGGTAGTCATCAAAAATTTCATACAAGATAATTATTATCTTTTACAGTAAATTTCAGTTAGAGATTCACAAATGAGTTAACTACACTTTTTAGTTATTAGTAAGTAAGCTGCGCGCACTCATTCAGAAGAGGAACTTGAATCTTCTGAATCGCTTAAATGAATTATTAGAGGTTCAATTTGGGTATCGATGACATTGTCCAAATCCCACATTTTGACCTCAACCTTCTCCCGAACGTGGCGGATACAGTTTTTCCATTCCTCTGCCGTAACTCTATTGACTGCGATGTGAAAGAGATTTTTAACATCATAAAATTTATAAGTATTATTATTCGACGCCACGTATTGTTTTATGTTGGCCCAAATCAGCTCAATAGGGTTCAGCTCACAATGGTAGGGTGGCAGTCTCAAGACAGTTTTATTTTGTTTTTTGGCCATTTCGTCGATCATTTTAAAATCGTATTTGTATTTATGTCTATTGACTATACTTATCAATTCACCCTTGACCATTGTTTCATCAAAATCGATCTGTTTTGAGGCCAGCCATTGTTGTATGTTTGCTTTTTTAGTTGCCATTGTGGGAATTTTTTCTATTTTTCTAGAATGGTACGGGGCATTATCCAGTACAATAACAGCGTTATTCTCCAGCTTTAGTAACATTTTGGAGAACCAATTTTCAAAGGAATTGCCGTCCATC